AACCGTTTTGCCAAAAACCAGCATTTACTTCTGGTTTTTCGCAAAACTGGTCTACAGCAAACCATTGCTTCATTTAACAACCATGGCATTTGCTTAACAAATGCCACAAAAAAGATCATAAAATCAGGTCAGTCACATGGGTGACCTGATCTATGACCCTCCCGACTTAATAACTCTAATGAACAGGTTCCATTATGGTCGTAACTCAAGGACTACCTGTGGCAGCCTGTCTCATACCAAACTCTGAGTAGCTGCAAATCAAGAATTAAAACCACATTAAAAAAAAAACATATTAAAGCTATTAAAATAATAAATACTAAAACAAAACAAAAACCAGCACCTGGTACCAAGTCAAGCTTCTAACTTGCTGTCACCTCATCCTATCCCAGCACATGGGGTGGAAAGCCAGGACTTCAGTGCTTGTTGGAAGGCTAGGAGGATAGAGGCCTGCTGAACTTTGGGGAGGGGAGGAGAGTTTCATAGGGTAGGGGCTGCTACAGAAAAGGCATACTTTTGGGTTCCCATAAGGTGGCAATGTTTAAGGGAAAGGACTAGAAGCATGCCTGTCCTTTCTAATCTCATAGAGCTCAAGCTTCATTGAAGTTGCATGCACGCTTGTATGGATATTCCAGTAGCACTGTGCTGCTATGCTTGCAGGAGTTGTTCTGTCACTCATTGGCCGAGAGTGAAATGCGCAGTGCTCCCTACGAATTCCCAGAAGACAGCCCCATTGAACAATTAGAAGAGAGGCGCCAACGGTTGGAGCGGCAGATAAGCCAGGATGTGAAGTAAGTTGCCAATGCTTTTTTGGACTTTTCTTAGCTTCTCCTAACTCCTTTTGATATTACAAGAGCAGGATGGAACATTTCACTGGAGTCTTGGGGGGTGGGGGGAGAGAACAAGGTGGTAGGAGTATTTGAAACTGAGAAAGATGGGGAGAAAACAAATGAAAGAAACTTTTATTTACAGTCTAGAAAAAAATGTGATAAGAGACTTTGGAAATAACTGGGAATGTCATTCCATTGCTTCTACTTCTGCAGGGAGAGTAACCATCATGTCAAGAGAAGCATTCATACGGTCATCTGTCAGTGGCATGACTCCGTGTCTATGTGCATATATATGTGTGTGGCTGATATTTTTACTCCTTGCTTATCCTGCACACAGTTTTCTTACTGTTAGATTGTCACTGGCAAAATTCCTTAGCAGTAGCAACCTTACAGCAGGCAGAAAATATCTGGATTTTATTTTATCTATCCTCATCTTGCTGTTCTTCTCTATAGTCCTTTAGAGCAGGGGTCCCCAACCGCCGGTCCACGGACCGGTACCGGGCCGCGGAACAAGCCTTACCGGGCCGCTGGTTGCTGGGCGCCGCCATCTTTTTTTGGTAAAAAAAGCAATTTTTCGTCAAAAAAGATGGCGGCGCCAGCGCTTCGGGTGAGCTTTTCCGGGTAGAAAGCCATTTCTACCCGAAAAAGCTCACCAGAAGCGCTGGCGCCGCCATTTTTTTTGACGAAAAATCACTTCCGGTGACGTCACCGGAATTGATTTTTCGTCAAAAAAAGATGGCGGCGCCCAGCTGACGCCGGAACCGGGCCGCGGCGCCCAGCTGACGCCGGAACCGGGCCGCGGCGTCGAAAAGGTTGGGGATCCCTGCTTTAGAGAGCAGAACAGGGAGAGGAAACAGCATAGGGGGAATAATGGCATATTTGGCCATTAGGATCCTGCAAATGTTTACTTCTAACCAGAAACCTCACTTGGGAAGGGCTGCAAAGTTTCAAGAGTTATATCTTCAGTTGTTCAAGCCAGGGCTTCAATATGAGGGGGACGGCGCTTAGGAAGAGGAAATGGAAACTATCAGTTGCCTATTTACCTACCTGAACCCTGGCAACCATTTGTGCTACTCTGAGGAAGGAGGAGGGAATTGCAGAAGTGAGACATAAGGAAAAGATCCCATTGGAATGAAAAACTTAGGGAGAAGGAAGACAATAGGCAGAACATGGTTTGCGTGTGAGTTCTGTTGAACAGATAGAAGGCAAGTTTACTCAGTGGGGGAAAATCTTCATTTCCACCCTGTTTAGAAGCCCAGTGTTTCAACTCTCCAAAGTGCCCGTTGGAAGAATGTTGTGGCAGTCTAGGAAAAGCAGGCTTTTAGAGGAGAAGCACAAATAGAGATCCAAGAAAATAACTTCTTAAGGAGAGTATAGGACTTCCTTTTATCAAGGCAATATGGGATATCTCATATCTCAGATTCATTCTCTTCCAATACTCCTACAGCCCCCAAAGTCTTTGATCTTCAGTTGGAAAGAGGCATTATATTGGTCATAGGTGTATAATGAGATTTATCCCAGTGAAGAGAAAGTAGCTGAGCTATTTATCTGCCTATATCTCTATATAAGCAGAGCCTGGAGGAGGGGTTTGGGTAGAGCAGAGGTCTCCAAACTTGGCAACTTTAAGGCTTGTGGACTTCAACTCCCAGAATTCTGGCTGGAGTTGAAGTCCACAAGTCTTAAAGTTGCCAAGTTTGGGGACCCTGGGGTAGAGGGTTTAGGAGAGGTTGGGAAAACACACTGGCTGGTACGGTAGTAGTCAAGCAAGTGGGAAGGAGGGAAGAAGATTCAAATAAAGGGAAAAGATGGTGTGGGAACCAGCAGTACTTTTCCAATAGCCAAACCATAGCTTGGTATCATGGTATCTTACATGGACCTCTTACATTCATTCTCTTTTGGATCTCCATTGCTGGTATATTGCTGTATAGTGTCTGCCATTTCTGATATTGGTTTCTGCATTAATGCTAGTGTTTTTCTTTTTCTCCTCATCTTCTTTACCATTTCCTCTTCCCCTTCCTTTCTCCTCTCTCTGACTGTTTGTCCTTTTCTTGGCCTCGGCCTCCACTTCCCATTTGTCCTCAGACTAGAACCTGACATTTTACTCAGAGCCAAACAGGACTTCCTGAAAAGTGACAGTGATGCCGACCTACAGTGAGTGCCTGGCCTTAATTCTCTCTGCCCTTGACTCAGGGGTGGGCGCGGGGCTTTCCCGCAGGCTGACTTTTCTCCTTATTCCCACCTTGACTGATCCAGAGTGAGTGACCTTCCCTTTTGCAAAGTTCTGTCCCCCCCCCCCCCACATACATTGTATCCCACATGCAATTGTACCACCGCTGGGTGTGTGTGTGTGTGTGTGTGTTGCCATTAAAATTAATTCCACAGACTGCAAATAAAACCTTAATCCGCATTAAGTTAAGGCACTTTCCCCCCCCCCCAACATGTTGCTCTCCTGTTGTTTTGGGTTGATGATGGTATATCTAGCGGGCATCAGGCTGGGGAAAGGCTGAGTAACAACATTGGGAGGATTCTGAATGGTTAGATAGGACCAGAGTTCAGAATGGAAGTGGAGTTACTCCCGGAAGTGAATTTGTCCTCCAAGAAAAGTTTAGTATGTTAGAACAAAAGCATCCCTGGAAAGGAAAGGCTAAAGTCAGCTGCCATATTGATATGCTTATTTGTGTGTGTCGCTTAAGCAAACTCTTCTGAGAAAAAAAAAGCCTATCTAAGGTTGAAAAAATAGGGGAACCATTTTATTTTGGACCAGATCCAATATTATTGGGCTAAAACAAAGCTCGTTTTATTTTTTGCATCTTCCAGTCCCACAAATCTCAACACCAGTGAGTGGGGGATTCCTCACTTCATACTATTGGTTGCTTTCCCTTGTTCCTTTTCTGAGCTCTGTTTCCCCCCTGTCCTCCTTAAAGCAGTTATTTTCAAGGCAAGCATAGTGGATAGAGCTGTTTGTCTCTGTTTTATATTTTCCTTTTCCCCTTCCCTCTTTCATTGTGCATTGGTTGACTGAGCAGCTTGGATCCTAGCGAACCCAGAAGCTCAGCCAAGTAGGATGTTTCTCCTTGTTTTAGGCAGATGATCAGCTCCTTACAGTTTTGCCAGGACAAGTCATTGCCCTGGAAAAATCTGTTCTTCTGATACTCCACAACAGGTTTTTTTAAAAAACTGTGTTTGGTGGAATCATGGAGAAGAAAAAAGAAAGAAAAAAGAGAGAGGGAGGGAGGAAGGAAGGAAGATAATTCAAACACAGTCAATTTTTTTTTTATCACTAGAGGTTTGTCTCTTGATTGTGGATTTCAGGATTTTGCTTTTCATCTAAGAATTTTTGAAGCCTTGAAAACATTGGAAAACCCCTGCTTAACCCAAACGTTTGATTGTTCGGTACAGAAATGAGCAGTCAAGCATCTAGTAAATTTGGGGCTCAGAAACATTTTCCTACTAGTTCTTCTGTATGTATTTGTTGCCCACTGCTCTTCCTCACCCCTTTCCATAGTTCAGAGTTGCTGCCATTGGAGGATACATCTGAAAGTCCTTGTGTTGCCCGTGTTTGTGTGTTCGATTTTGTGTCTTCACACACCTGCTGGAAAAGGGGACTTCTATAGCCTGGCAGAATTCATCAGAGACTATTCCTTATGGTGGCTCCTTCATTCCCCCTCTTTTCCCCTTCTCCCCGGCAGATTATTTAAAGAAGAGGGTGACGACCTAGTAGATTACTTTCCAAAAGACCGAGATGTATTTTTGGACAGAGAGTTCCAAAGGGTCACAATCTCTGGAGAAGAGACATGTGGGGTAAGTCTGTTTGATTTGGGGGTTGTTCTCATTTCCCCCATTCTCTTTCAGAGACTCTCACTCAAAGGTGGGCAAGTTGACACCCGCACCTATCTTTGACTACAAGCCCCAAAGCTCTGGTCACCATAATCAATAATCTGATCGTTGAGTATCTGAAAGATACTTAACTGCCTATTCCTGCTACAGACCATAACGCCTGCTGTATTTGGAAATACTGTGGTGGTCCAGTGGTTAGAATGCAGTGGTGGTGCAGTGGTTAGAATGACTGTTGGCTGCCCGCAGTGCAGCAGTTCGATCCTGACCAGCTCAAGGTTGACTCAGCCTTCCATCCTTCCAAAAGTCAGTAAAATGAGGATCCAGATTGTTGACTCTGTAAACTGCTTACAGAGGGCTGTAAAGCACTGTGAAGCAATATATAAGTCTAAGTGCTATTGCTACCCTGGGAATGACTAGTCTCCGATGCCCATCTACAACTTGATGCCTGTGGCATTAATGACAATTCCCATTAGCTTAAGCCACTTTGGTAAAGGCAGATGGGAGTTAAAATCCAGAATGTCTGGAGGATACTAAGTTGGGGAAAGCTGTCCTTGCTCTGAGTTAGGGAGAAAACATAGAGTGGAGATAAAGCAAATGGATTGCAAGCAACAGGATTCTTTGGTTAAAGCTTCCTATAATGGAGTGTTTAATAGGGTAAGATAGTAAATTAGTTGGACAGTTATGCTAACCACATTGCAGAAAGCTTTCTACATTCCCAAAACATATACATTCCTTGAAAATCAAAGAATTCAAAGAGTTTCACATTAGCTAGCCACTGCGTGATGATACCGAGTTCAGTCCTACTACTTAGTTTCCTTGACAGTTGCTGGGACATGAATGCCTACTACGGCATCTGCTTGAAGCCAATTTTCTTGTGAGTTGTTTTTAAAATGTGGGTTGTGGAGTAGCCAGTAGGTTGCATGTGATCAGGTTCTGTTTAACAACCTCTCTGTCCTGCTGAAATCTGACAAATCTGACCCCACAGTATGATTTTATTCTTTTAAAAAAGAAAACAAGCAGTAAAATATCTATGAAGATTCTCGATCATCGTCCATGTCATGGTTATGCCAAAAGTGTTTTTCCAAAAGGCAACTGGACTTTCTTTGTCACTAATTTTCTGATTGCCGAAAATTGACAAACAGTGACAATTCCAAATTTCTTCAGAATCGAAGGAGCTTCTTGGATGTGGAGTGAAATGTTTTCAAGGAAAAAAAACCATTTGCCTTTTGGAAAAGCACCTTGGGGACAGGCAGTAAAATAGAAATGTTAAAGTCTGTTATTTTTGAGTACCTATTTTAAAAAAACTTTCAGCAAAGGGCTGCAAATTTTCTCATTTTAGAGACCTTGGTGGTTTAAAAAAACAAAAACATTTTAAAGAGGATGGAATTTCTTCGAAGAGCTTGTTCAGCCCTGTTTTAAAATAACATTCTTTTTTTAAAAAAATTTTTTATTGGTTTTTAAAACAAACATAAACAAACAAAACATAAAAACATCAAATCATCTTCCATATATGTACGTACAATGTGCCGGTTGGTTTACAAATTGTTTTGTGCTTCCATTTCATAGTCTTCAATTATAATTACATTGTTTATAATCTCATATTTTCAATCAATATATTAAATACATTAATATTATTAATCAATCATTTGACTATACTTTTATTCATTCATGTTTTCCAAAATGATCATATTTTACTTAATTTGTTTTATAACAATTCGTATCATCGTCCCAGATCTATCCTAGAGTCATTTTGTAGATATAATTAGAAAAGAATACATCTTTATATATTTATTATTTTCTAAAAGTCTACATATTTCATTACTATATTTTATTGTCTAACCATTGATAGAATAGATCCCAAATTTTATAAAATTGTTTATCATCTTGTTCTCTAATTTCAAATGTCAATATACTCATTTCAGCACATTCCAATATTTTCTTAATGATTTCCTCCTGTGATGGTATTTTCTCATTTTTCCAGTTTTTAGCAAATACAATCCTAGCTGCTGTTAATACATTTACAATCAGGTATTTCAAGTCTTTACTATATATTTCAGGTAAAATTCCCGATAAAAATATTTCTGGTTTCAAATCTATATGCTTTTTTGTCATTTTTTCCAACCACGTGTGGATTTTAGTCCAGTATTTTTTAGCATCCGCACAAGTCCACCACATATGGTAATATGAGCCAGGTATCTGATGACATTTCCAACATTTTTCGGATTTATTCTTGAACATTCTTGCTATTCTTGTCGGGGGAAAGTGCCACCTGTAAAACATCTTATACAAATTTTCTTTATATGCTGTTGACATTGTCATTTTATAATTTTGAGACCACAATTTTTGCCATTTCTCTAGATCAATCCCATATCCAAAATTCTTCCCCCAAGCAATCATAGTTTCTTTAACTTGTTCTTCTTCTAGTTTAATTTCTAATAAATATCCATATAATTTTTTAATCACCTTTTCATCAGTACCTGTCAAAATCTTATCTAAGTCAGTCAATTTATCATAGAAACCTTCTGTTTTAGAATCTTTATCATACCTTGAATGTATTTGCGCATATGAAAACCAATTCATCTTTATACCTTGTTCCTCTAGTTTTTGTATAGATTTAAGTTCACCCTTTTCATTCAATATTTCACCACATCTAACTGTTCCTTTTTGTATATTATAGGATAAGAAAATGCTTCAATAGTCGATAGCCAGACTGGAATTTTCAAATAACGTTGTCTTTTAATCTTCTCCCAATTTAACCACAGAGACTCCTGTATATAATGTCTTCTAAAGTACCCCTGTGTTTTAGTTCCTTTATACCATAAAAAAGCATGCCACCCCAACAACAGGTCATGTCCTTCTAATGTCAACAATCTAGTATTTCTTAATGTTATCCATTCCTTAACCCACATCAAATTTGTAGCTTGGTAGTACAACTCCCCATTAGGCAAACCAAATCCTCCTCTTATTCTAGCATCTTGCAAAAGTTTTAACTTTATTCTCGCTTTCTTACCTTGCCATATATATTTCAACACAATTTTATTTAAATCTTCAAAGTAATCTTTTCCAAGCCTAATTGGAATTGTTTGAAACAAATATAAAATTCTGGGTAATATCTTGATTGTTGATATTCTCCCTATTAATGACAGTTGTAAATTTTCCCATTTCGCCAAATCTAGCGCTATCTGCTGTTTAAGTTTGATATAATTATTCTCTTTTAGTGTACTGCATCTTGCTGTCAAGTATATCCCCAAGTACTTTATCTTATTCGTGACCTGAATTTTCAATAGGTCTGCCAATTCTTCTTTTTGTCTTGATAGCATATTCTTTTGTCAAGATCTTTGTCTTATCTTTATTTATTTTCAAACCAGCCACCTTTCCATATGTCTCTATCTTTTCTATCAATTTTTTTTTGAACAAATTTTTATTAATTTTTAAAGACATACAAAACATACAAAAATTCAAGACATAAAAACATAAAAAATCTCTTTTCTGAAAGTTGCTTAATCCCGGGTCAAAACTTTTGGTACAGACACACATTCAAATTCATATTCATTTTACATACCATTCCATATCTTATTACATTTTCATTTTTCTATATAGCTTCTCCTTTCTTTTAAATTTTCTCAATTTTATTTTATTTATCTCCTCTCAATTCAAATCATAATATTTATTCTTTGTCTGTTCTATTTCCAACTATCCGTTTATCTTTCTTCTTAAAAGAAAAAAAAAGAAAAACCTTCTCCTGTACACTGATTGGAGTATGACGCCTATGTCTCTTTCCCCTATATTTATAATACTTGATTTAAAGTACATAACTTACGTTGGGATTCTGTCTGGTACATTCTGACATTATACAATATCATCAAAACCAATACAAATCTATTCATTAATATTAATATTTATTCATATCTTAAACATCTAGCACATTTCTTATCAATTAGGTCACATATTTCTATGGGAGCACCTATTTGCCATATTAATTCCATCCCCCACATCACATATTATAAATCATTATTACATTACATGTTCCCCTCTCCTTCTTCAAACCTCTCATTTCACGAATAGTTTCACTATTATAACATAGCCTAATCATTGGTGTTAACAATCATTTATATCTTTAGACATTTTACACATTTCAATTAATTATCATACCATTATGGGAACACTTCTTATACTTTCCAAAATTATTCCCCCCCCCCACATCACCGATCTTAAATCATTATTTCATTAAAGTACTCCCCTCTCTTAACAAAAATTTCACTAAATTATACTAAATATTTATCACATTTTAAATTACATATTATTTCCAATCTTCTATAATTATTTCTAAATACAAATATAAAAATGCAATCTTATATACCTTTTCCAATAAATCCCTTTTCCAATAAAATCTATCCATTATCTCTAAAAAACTTTTGTTTTTTTGCATTTTGCTCCCCACCATTAAAGCTTCTCATCCCTTCCTTTCTCCCTTGCTTCTTCTTCTCCTTATTCTCTTTACCCCCTTGTCTCTCCACCTCCCTTTTATCCTGTTTTCCCTCTTTCTGTTGTTTCCTAACACGATATCCTCTTTTCACCTTATTCTTCTCTTTTTGGATTGTTTTCCCAGGTCTTAAAGTCTTCTTCTCCTTTTTCTCCTCCTTCTTTTCTTCCCCAACCAAAGTCGCATGTTCTTCAAAAATGGCTTCTTCTTTATCCTGCTTATACGATTTTACATAAGCACAGACCGCCATTTCTATAAACTGAAAAAGAGTGCCAAAGACATCTTTCCCTTCTTGCTTTTCTCTTTCATATTTTTGATGTATAAGTTCTAGTTCATCCACAACTGATGCCATTGTACAGAGAAAAATTTTTTTCAAAACAACTACCCAAGTGCTTTTAGTCTGAGATAATTCTCATAAAATCCAAAGTCATCAAACAGTCCAATCAGCTGATTCTTTTTAATACTTTCTCTTTTTCCACTTTCTCTTTTTGGGATAAAGTTTGATCACAAAGTTCTCTTTAAAATATATCTTTAGGAAGTCTTATTGCTGTTTAATAGCTCTTTAAAATTAACTCTTTAAAGTTTTAGGCAGTCTTCTCCTTATTTTCAGGATGCTCCAATTTTTTTTTTCCCTCTCCCTTCCCACTCACAGCCAAAAAAAAAAAAATTCTTCTTCTTTTTTTTTCCCCCTTTGAATATTCAGAAATCCTTGCTCCTTCAATATTCATTTACCTCCAGAACAGATTCCCGGATTTCTCTTATGGTTCCACTGCTGTCACGTTAGGGAGGAGAGTGAAAGGCAAGAAAAAAAAAAACTTACTCTTTTGAAATGTTCGCCGCTTGTATCTCTTTCTAGAAACAAAGTATCCTTAGCAGCCTTCGAGGTTACAGGAACTCTCTCTCTTAACTTTATCCCAGTCAGAAGCAACTTCCACAGCTCTTCCCTCTTCCTCCAGCACAAATCTTACCCGGCTGCTGGCTTCTTTGAGGCGGCCATTACTGACCGCCGCTCCACCACCTCAGGAAAAAGGGGTTATTCCGGCTGGAAAGGGGGTCTGCGTTACCCCCAAACCTCTGTCCGGATCCCCTCTCTCTTCGGCTGCCTCTACAAGGCAGCCATAGCCCCCAGACCTATTTAGATCGGGGGCACCTTGGCAGCGAACGCGGCAAGGATCACAGAGGCGCGAATTCCTGCCGCTACCGAAGCCGCGCAAAACCGGAAGTCCTATCTTTTCTATCAATTTTGATGCTGTTTCTAGTGGGTCTTCTAAGATAAAAACCAGATCATCTGCAAATGCTTGCAACTTAAATTCTTCCTTTTTAATTTTCATCCCTTTTATATTCTTTTCAGCTGTAATATTTCTGCTTAGCACTTCCAAAGTTAACACAAACAACAGAGGTGATAGTGGGCACCCTTGTCTTGTTCCTTTTCTTATATCGATAGATTCTGTCAGTTCTCCCTCTATCATTACCTTTTCCCTCTGCTTATGATATATAGCTTCTATTGCTTGAATAAATTTAGAAAGAAAGAAAGAAAGAAAGAAAGAAAGAAAGAAAGAAAGAAAGAAAGAAAGAAAGAAAGAAAGAAAGAAAGAAAGAAAGAAAAACCCCATAGTGCTTCTGCCTCAAAAGCATATGAGTTTTGTTTTGCATATTCTTCCTTGCTGATTTGGGTTGACTTCCATGGCAAAGGGGAGGAAAACTGTTGTTGCTGAGAACAGGAATGTTGTTTGTTTTTACAAAAACCCAAGGCCTTGCAGGGTTCTGGGAAGTAAGTTCCCCAGGAGCCTTGAGAGAGCCACTCCGCCAGCTGAACTGCCTTTCAGCCAAATTCAAGTCAGGATGTGTTCTTGGAGGTGCTACATCAGCCAGGGATCTGGGATGCAGCGAGCCAAGAGGGGGGATTCTCAGGACTCCAGCTGGGCAAGTCTCCCCCTGTTGAGCTGTGGCTGGGCCCAAACCTTTGTAGTTCCTGGGATCGGTTTAAGATGTAGCTGTTTATCTATACTTGGATTAGACTGGTTCCTCTGTGCTGCTCTGGCATTGTTATTGTTGCCCCACGTTTCAGAGTTCGGGTGGAAGGAGAGGGGGAATAAAAGTCGCCATTTTGGACCATTATTTTTTAACTCATTTATTTTCCGTGAGTGTGCTCCAGTTTGCATTGTTTTGTTGATGAAAAGACAAAGGGAGAAAATGAACAAACAAATACATAAATAAGTAACGCAAAAGAGAGGGAAGCCTGTGAATGCAATGAATGAGAAAAACCTCAATCCTGAAGCCAGCCACAAATGTTGTTGTAATTTCCTCTGCTGAGAAGGTGAGCAGTAAGCAGATCCTTCCCTCTCACAGTTGAACTGGAGCACAGTTGCACTGGTGATATTAGTGAAGAGTCAGTGTCCACACCTAGACAATATTCATTGGTAGTTCAGAGCCTAATTCTCCCCTGGTCACTTCTATGTCAGCCAGAATCTTGGTGGTCAACCATGTTGTGAGCATGGAGATTGGTTTTTCTGTTACCACACCAATGCAACAAGAAAGGGGATGGAGTTGTTCACTGCTACTTGCAAAATGAGTTATGTAAGTCTTTGTAATGCATGAATTGAAACTACGAGCTGTTGACTATTCATTCAGCTGCCCAACTCAAGCTATGTGAGTCTGGGTGGCATACAAGACAAAAAAAGAAAACTCTTATTCCTTAATATAAGACAACAATTTATTAAAGGGTGGAGGGTCCTTGGTGCTCTGTCTGAGCTTGCTTATTTTCTTGCAGACATTTCATTACCAAAGCTAGGTAACATCATCAGTGCTAGTGTTATTACTAAACAATAAAATGGTGAACAGAAAGCTTCCTAAACTCTCCCTTCGGAGACTCAAGTCAACTTGACATAAATCCCCGAGGAAACATGTTTGCACGAACCAGGGTTTTGCTGAACAACCAACTTGACTTGGCTTCTTGCAGTCCTGCCAGATGTAAAGTTGGCTGCATCATGACTTTGTCTGTAGACTATGAAGATGTTGTAATAGCTTCAGTTGACTAAACTATGCATATGAGATAAAACATGAATTAAGCATCCTTCATCTCCAGATGCTGCTTCCTGTAAAGAAAAAAGTAGATCACAGAGGAAACGTTAGAAAGCATTTTGGCAATGTTCCTTAACGGTTAGTTTTTGTGACAATCACTCTGGTAGAATGCAAAACCTTTGCTTTCTACCTTCAAGTATTCAAAGTGCTTTCTCTGATGACATGTTCCTTCTGTTTTATACCCTGTGAAACTTTCCACAATGATGCTCTGACAACCACCTCAGCTGAATAAACCACTTTTTTCCCCTATACAGGTGCCCTTCACAGACCTGTTGGATGCGGCTAAAAGTGTGGTCAAGGCATTGTTCATTCGGGAAAAGTACATGGGGGTTTCTCTGCAAAGTTTCTGTAAAACCACAGCCCGATTCCTGCAGGATCTTTCAGAAAAACCTTTAGCCCTCAGGATGTATGAGGAGATCCCTGAGACTCCTGTGGCTGCAGGTAAGGATCAGAACTGGGCATGGATTGGGGGGAAAAAGCATTCCCCTAATTCTAGTGGCAGAGATGGCTTAAGATGGTAGTTAGAAAAAGAGACTTTAATAGGATTTTAGACTGATTGTTTAAACTATTTAAAGGCTGACAAATAATCTGGAAGGAGAGGACCTTGAGGCACAACAACTTCTTTCACAATCAGTGGCAGCTGCAATAACAAATCCTGCATTATCTGCTACTAGGGTAGACTAAACTGGATAGCTGAAGGAACTTCATAGTTATCTCTCCATGTTTATGCATTCTGCAAGGTTTCTGTAAACTACAGGGGGTTTTTTATGTTGGGTTCAAAGGAGAGATTTTTAAAAAGTGTGAAGAAAATTCCAGTTCTATGCTGAAAGAAGCTGAATCTTGCATTCACTTATTTGGTATATGCTGTGTTTGTATTTTCTATTTGGATTTTGCTAATAAAGGAGAAAGCAAGGAAGTAAACGGGTAGGATCTTTGTTAGCTCTTTCAGAGGGAACAAAGAGCCGCTGGATTTGATGAGTTCAACAGGCATTGCCAATGCATCTTAGGCTATGTCTAAAGCTAACTAGAACCTTACTTCTAAAATTAAAAGGGAAAGAGAAAAAGGCATATTTCTTAGGAATAACAAAGGCACTTTACACCTAGACTAAATTTTTCGACTGCATCCAAAACTGCATGTTTTCTGTGTTTCCATAGAAACATGCAGTCTAAACAGATTCTGAGGTAAATGGGAAGGAGTAACATAATTAAGCTTCCTCAACATCATGGTCTCTTGATGTTTTGGATTACCTTATCCTCAAATATCACGGAAAGCTGCCAAGTGAGTGATGGATGGAGATGATGTCCAATATACAGTATTTGAAGATTCCCTATCAAATTTGGGGAAACCTGGATACAATTTTTTGCAGTGGCACTATCACATTCTAATATGCAATATAAACTTAACCTGTTACTGGTAGTCCTCAACCATGACCACTCATCCAGCGACTGCTCGAAGTTACAGCAGTGCTAGGGGATGATGGTTACAACTGGTCCTTGGAGTTCTGGATATCCCAGCACCACCCTATCCCACAATCGTGATAGGTGCGCTTGGCACTTATGACTGGTTTGCACTTAACAACTGGTTGCAGTACCCCATGATCATATGCTCACCATTTTCAACCTTCCTTATCCAGCTTGTCCAGAAAGTCAGTGGGGAAGCTGGCAGGGAAGATCACAAATCGCTGGGTTAAGTCTCCCTCACCCACCCCCTCTTCACTTGTGCCATACCAGTGATCCCTCTTTGACCCTCGACCTGCTTGCCTTGCACCTCCCCAACCCTCGCCATGCCTCTTGCTAATCTCCTCACACTCTCCAGGACCTTTGCTGGGTTTTTCTGCACAACCCCTTGCATTCTCACACAGCCTCCCCAACTTATATCACATCTCTTATACACTCTCATTCTCCTTCCCCGACCCGTGCCTCTCATGCACTCCCCTTATACACGCTTCCAGATCTTCCCTCGCACTCTCCCCAACCTCCCCTGCACCCCTGGATGCTCTCTTGCTCCCTTCCCCACCTGGCAACACCCACTTTACCTCCCTTTCAGCCTGAGACTTCCTGCTGGCTTCTCCACTGACTTTGGTTGTGGATGCTGGCGGGAAGTTGCCTTGCTTAACAGCCATGGGATTTGATTAACAACAATGGCCGGGATGGCAGGGATTATTATCCCTAAGTGATGCAGTCACACTTTGTAACCACTTCATTAGCAAGCCCAATCCTAATTGCCACCATGGGACTAGCTATACCTGTTCAGCCTCCGCATAACTGATTTGCTTAGTTTGTGCCCATGCACTCTTGGAGAAAGAGAATGGGAACACAACAATCCCTAAAATTGCAGCGGGGGAATTATGGTGTGGGCCAGAGGTAAATTAGCATTTGATTTCTCTTTTAGCATTCCATTAAACTCTTAACTACAACAGCCAACATCATTCTACAGATGGGTAGCTAAGAGCTGTGGTGGTGCAGTGGTTAGAATGCAGTACTGCAGGCTACTTCGACCGTAGTTTGGCAGTTCGATTCTCACCAGCTTAAGGTTGATTCAGCTTTTTGTCCTTCCGAGATTGGTAAAAGGAGGTCCCAGATTGCTGGGGGCAGTTGGCTGACTCTGTAAAATGGTTAGAGAGGGTTGTAAAGCACTGTAAAGCAGTATATAAGTCTAACTGTTTTTGCGACTGCTGTTCTCGTAAGCATTTTCCTCTGTTACAGATGCTCCAGTGCACCCTCCGTTTGCACACCAGCATCCTTATGAGAAATGTGATCCTCAATCAATGCCTGGAGATCTTGGCTTTGGCCTCAGGATGGTCAATGGAGTAGTCCATGTGTACACCAAGCAGGACATCACTGACAAGTAAGTAGGTGGCTGAAGGCATGAGAATAACCTGGCTATTGAGAAAATAGAGAAATAACATCTGGGGCAGCGATGTTATCTATGATTCATGTCTAGCTGAGCAAGATTTCTGATGCTCTAATTTTTCTCTGCTGCTAGAAATCATGAATGCTTCTGACTTAACAAACTGCAAAGGAAACAGATTTGAAAGTAAAAATTGATCTATAATTATCCCAAACAGAATTTATTTTAGGAAGATTCATTCCTGAACAACATTTTTTGGTATACACAAAATAATATGCTACTTTTTTTGCCAATCATTATTTATGTGCATACAGTGATTAGTATTGCCACAATAACAAGAAAGCACACAGTTTTTTCTCTATCCGTCTGCCCTCAGGAAAGTAATATTTATTAAATAGTGAGGGACTGTGGTTATCAATCAGCCATACTGAGAGACAAATTTCAGTTAGGAAAGCTCATTACTTACACTAAAAAGTAATAGAACAGAATAATTTAAAGCAAATAAATGAAAAAAGATGCACTGTACTTTCATTTTTATTTTCACATTCAAAGCAAAGTGCTATAAGAAGGTTGTTTTTTAAAAAAATATGTAAACCCTCACCCTTTAGTAACATAGTAAATAACAGCTTTATGACATCCTGGGAAAGTCATGTTAAACGGAAAGCCTTTTAAAAGTACATTGCAAGTGATGGAAGGAACACAATGGTGCAATTGAAAAGACTGCTAGCAAACTTTCACAAGTTTGCTATGATTACCAAACAGTGTTTCTCTTCAGTTCCCATCAGCCTAGGCGGAAAACGCAGGAACTGAAAATGGGAAACACCTTCAGCTACGCAGGAGTCTGGCTATTTAGGCCTTCACAGTTCTCTGAAACCAGTTACTAGCCAAGACAGGTAAAACACAGAGAAACGTAACATATCTGCAGCTTGTGCTAACTAGGGAACTCGGACTTCAGCATCACCGAAGGCTTGAATCCACACCGACTCTAAAGCAGGCTACTACAGCCCAGGCTAGCAGCTTCAGATACGTGTGGAATTCCCCAGTGAGCATTGTTGAAATCCACACTTTTTAAACCTGTCAAAGTTGTGAAACACTGGTCCAGACTAAATACTAGTTTTTGTATCAATTGCAGCTACCAAAATACACTTATGGACTGAGAATGAAACAGCAAGGAAGGAAAAGCAAGATACTGCTGCTCAGCAGTTCGAACCGATATAGATCTAGACATTGGGCCCCAGTCCTACTGCAATTCCTTGATCTAATATAAAAGAAACTTTGAGGCCGATGTCAGGAAGATATTGAGGACACTGTTCCAGGGGGCCTCGAAACCCTGGGTCGCAGCCTAGTACCTGGCTGCAGCCTCGTTCACAATAGGGCTGGGCTAGCGGCAGGCATTCACGTACACAGCTCCAAGTGCAGTTATGTGCACCAGTGTGTGACCCTGCTGTTCGTGCACCACTTGCATGACTTGTGATTATCTGTTCTTCCCCACCACCACTGCCACTGGTCTACAAAGCTGGAAAAGTTGGGGACCGCTGCTCTAAACCATCAGTTACATATATTTTGCATTGCTCATTTCCTCTCTGCCTAATATAGAAAATCGGTTGTTGTTCTAATCCCAGAGCAAATGTAAAACCCAGGATTTTGCCAATTTAAATTTAAAACAACGATTTAATCTACTTCAAGGCTGACAAATCATTCAGAACATCTTGTTTCTCTATTTTTTTTCTGGTAAAATATTTTTTTATAATTTTTCAAAGTACCAGTGGCAATAATATAGGTTTTTTTTTTTCTGGATTATTAATGAGGCTGTTCTTGGTTTGACAGGTTTATAGTTATTAGGTTACTCAAAAAGCTATCCCCTATGTACACGCAGGTAGCGTAGCTGCTGCTGCTGGTTGTTGTTTTTTCCTTGCTTTCTTTTCATGATGCAACTTACCTCATATCTTTGGGGTCTGTTCTCTATTGCATTTTGAAAAGGACCACTGAGCTGGACTTGCCTTATCCTGACCTGCAGGAGTTTGTGGCTGACATGAATGTTCTGATGGCTCTGATCATCAATGGCCCCATGTAAGTTTTCTGTCTTTTTCATCTTTCATGCATGTGTCAAACTCCTTTGCAAATAGCCATTCTATTCTACAAGTGTGGCTTACATACATTATGATCCTAGACTCTATGAAACACCTTGTCATCGTAAGATTATATGGGAGACGCATTTATATCTTTTTATAGTTCATATGACTATTTTTTGGAATAATCAAAGTGTATTCTTCAGGTTGAAAGAAATTTTTATTAGACTTTTAAAAAAATAAACAAGTGTCCTCCAGAGAATGTTTCAAAACAACTTAAAATACCAGGAGCCAAAAACAGATACTTTGCTTTTCAATTTCTTAGCATTTTTGTACGTAGACAGTAGTCCCAAAGGTGTTTTTTCAACAGACAACTGCACTTTCTGTTTTTTTCTTCAAAGACATTTCAATTCTCACCCAAGAAGCTTCTTCAGCTCTGCCTCTTGAAAAAGCACTTTGGGGATAACCATGGCTTGGATGACTGCAAATCTCCATAGACACAGGTAGACAGTAGCTACTTAAAATAGCTACTGCAGCTACAGTAGACTCACCATTAGGCTGACCTGGCATAGCCTTGATTGTATGGGATCTTTAGAAATTCCCATATTCTATTTCTGGAAAGAAGGACCTAGCTTCCCTACCCATGTAAAACTTTCTGGAAAGGCAAACTGTTCCTTTATCAATTTATTGTATGGAGACAGCTTCTGGGATAATAACGAAATTATATCTCAAATGGAAAATGTTCTAATCAGAGTGTGCAAACCTTAAATTGTTTTCTTTTCACCTTTGGACAGAAAGTCCTTTTGCTATAGAAGACTTCAGTACTTAAGTTCAAAGTTCCAGATGCATGTCCTCCTCAATGAGATGAAAGAGCTGGCAGCTCAGAAAAAGGTGCCACATCGTGACTTCTACAATATTCGGAAGGTATATAATTTGAAAATATGTGCTGGTACTTAGGGCTACAGACTATGTCAGTGCCACAGATTGTTGAACCGAGACAATTCAATAGTGATTGTAGAAAGCTTCACCAGTACAGCCCTTTACCTCTTTGTACTGATAAGAGAACACGAGCAGATCCTACTGCTTTTTAAATTGGTAGCAGAATACTTTCAACAGAAATGCTGAGTTTTGTACCCCTAGGCTCATTTTGGATTGATGTATAGAGATTGTCTTTTTTAAAAAGCAAAATCAAGATAATTATGTCGATACATATAACAATCTTGGAAGAAAGCCATTACAGACTGAAAAATAGAGTTGAGCCTGAGAGTAGCAGTTTTTCTTGAAGTCAGCTAATGAACTGATGTCTTAAGATAACATTTGAGCTTGCATCTTCCTAGCTTGTATACTTACTGACTAATCCTTTGATCAGGTGGACACACACATCCATGCCTCGTCCTGCATGAATCAGAAGCATCTGCTACGCTTCATCAAACGGGCTATGAAGAAACACCTGGAGGAAATCGTTCATGTGGAAAAGGGCAAGGAGCAAACCCTTAAAGAGGTCTTTGAGACCATGAATCTCACAGCATACGATCTGAGTGTGGACACCCTCGATGTCCATGCGGTACGTCAGATGCATTCATCAAAAAGGGTGGCTTATAAAGAGAATTGGAAACTGATTTTCCTACTGGATTAAATAGCGATCGTAACTTTGGACGCTAGGCTGGGCAAAACCTTCTTATTCTTTCCAGTAGAATGGTCTCACATGCAGAGCGGTAGTTCCTGACTTTTTCAGGTCTATTGGAACACAGCTCTAAAGTTGCCTCAATGATAAGCAATGGAAAACCTGATCTCAATTAACTCCAATAGCAATTTGGTAGTATTTACCCCAAAGAGAAGAAGGTACTCATTAAAGAAATACATAACGGCTTCTCATCTTGGGAGGCACTGCTCTCCAATCAAAGGGGGATGATGGAGGGAGTTTTGATTAAAGAAATATATCTTTATCGGTAATGCTAAGCAGGGGGAGAAGGCAGTGCGGTTGCATTCTGGCTTATCATCTTGGCATCCTCTCTGTTAATAGGATCGTAACACCTTTCATCGATTTGACAAGTTCAATGCCAAATACAACCCCATAGGAGAGTCTGTTCTGCGGGAGATTTTCATTAAAACAGACAACGAAGTCTCTGGAAAATACTTCGCTCATATCATCAAGGTGAGGGCTGTTGTAATGGTATGTGGGAATGTCCTTGAGAGACAGGGAATTGCCACAGCCAGGGGAAGAGTTGGACAGAAGACAACCTGCAGAAGGGATGTGGGCATGGCAGATGCTTCAGAGGGGACCCTCCCTAGTTTCTTAGGCTGCAAAGGCAGTGGGAGGAAAATGGATTTTCAGACTTGCAAGACTCCGTCAATGTAACCTTATAATAAAGTAGGATTATCTGGTTGTGCTTCACATCTGGACTACCTTGCAAGTTGGCAGCTGCCTTTCTTAAAGCCAGGGTGGCTGAACAAGTTATGCAGACTTAGCTATCTTTTGGAGCTTTGAAACTTGGGGGAATCAAGCAGGTTGGTTTTGGAGAAGTAATAAGTAATAAATCCACATGGGGTGAGCAGAAAGGGATGGTGGGTGTGTAAAGGTTATTTCTTGATTACTGCAAGTAATGGCCATAACTCACTTCTGAACATTACAAGGCCCACTCTTAAATGTTTATACATTTGTCCCTCTATCAGAAATTGAGGCCAACATACTTGTGTCACACCATGCCATGCCACAATACTTACCCAGTCATTGTGGTTGGAAACTAAGGTATGCCTAGCCTACTCTATGAGTTAATATTGGGCTTGGCATTATGCCTGAAGCCTAGTGTGTTTTATAAACCTAAGAAACCTTATGATTAAAATAACAAAAGCGGATCAGGCAATCTGCGGTCAGTTTTTCTGTTTAACTACATCATTCGTTGAATGAATTTCAGCCGATCTCTTTGTCACGCAACCTGGCTCATAGGATTGTTGTTTGGGAAGAAAATGAAGGGAGATCCCTGTCTTAATCACCCAGACCTCTCAGGATATAAGAACATGTGTGTGTGTGTGTTTTTAAGAAAGAGTTCCTATTCTTAAAGTACTAACAAGCTGATTGTCTCCTGGTAGGAAGTAATGTTTGACCTAGAAGAGAGCAAATATCAGAATGCAGAACTGCGACTGTCTATCTACGGCCGAGCGCGGGATGAGTGGGATAAGTTAGCCAAGTGGGCTGTTACCCACCGAGTGCATTCCAACAACGTTCGCTGGCTGGTGCAGGTGCCTCGGCTGTTGTGAGTGTCTCTCTCTTGGTTTTGCAGTTCCAAAAGCATGCAGAGACTCGCAGAATCACAAAGGGCTTTGCATACATTAACTGCTGTATTATTAATACTCAACAGCTGCTTCGGTCTAGTAAAAAGTGAATACAGGAACTTGATTTTTTAAAATATAATTCTGGTACCAAGATTACACACTAAAAAAGATAAATGTTGCCCTTCCACTGTCTTTTTTTTTTTTTTTTTAAAGAAGACTTATTGAAAACCATGCTGTTTGAACAGGTTTGAATAAGGTTAAACCTTACAGGTTGCAATCCCGGAACCAATTTCAGAGCATTCATGTTTAGGATCAGTGAAATCGCTGTGCCTTATTATATATCTGGGCATCCTTGGGGAAAAAAATTCTGCTGCTTTAGAGAGGGCTCTTTATGCTACAAGTAGCTTTCCACTGTATTTTTTGATGGTCAGGGAGAGCAGCTATCTTGATAAGACATATAGAGGGCTCTTGGATCTTACTTTTGAATTCCACAGCAGTTGTAATCCCAGTTAGTGGGAAACCACCCTTTGGACGTAGCTGCTCAGCGTAGTACAATGTCAGCTTATGAGCTAAAGTGGTAAGACTTGCACTGATGATGCTACAGTATCTAGTTAAGTAATGAAACATCTAAACCGGAAAGGGTTGCAACAGATTTATGTCTGCCATTCAGAAAAAACACACCCCTCCGGTGGCGACATCAGGGGAGGATGGCGGAAGAGCCAGTTGCAAATCTGTTCCCCACGATCTCAACAGAAGCACCAGGACTAAAGCTACTTTGAAAATATTTGATAAGTGGTCATAAAAACTTGCATGTTTTCCCCAAAACACATCCTCTCTTTTTAAATCCCTGTGTAAGATAGTTAGTTATCTATGGAATTTCTCAATCATCCAGTTCATGGTTGTCCCAAAGGTGCTTTTTCCCCCAAAAGGCAATTAGGCTTTCTGGATTTTTTTTCTTTTCTTTGAAAACATATTGCTTCTCATCCAAGAAGCTTCTTCACTTCAGGACTGAAGAAGCTTTTTGGATGAGAAGCAAAACCTTTGCATACCTTTGGGAGAAAAAAAACACCTTTCGGTATAAGATGGTTATTTCCCCCCAACCGTCTCTGCTGTGTGACATCTGCAGTGAAGACTGTTGGGAATTGGATTGCTGAAGCAGTTGAATTACTTAAGTCAGGGGTGTCCAACCTTGGCAACTTTAAGACTTGTGGACTTCAACTCCCAGAATTC